TTCCATTGAAAATAGAATAAAGGTCAAATTCTGCTTGCCTTACACATGTATGAAATGAACAGTTGTACTATGGTGATGTGCTGCCAAGATTTGAACAATGGGCTCTTTCAGAAATGTTTCTCCTCCTCCAGTGATAAAGTCTGTATAGTGACATGTGTGTGCACACAGAGGAGATGAGAGGGACTGAGCACTATTTGCCTTTGTCTTTACTTTTTAAATCAAAGTGGGTTTTTTAGAACCCAGAAGCCTGTTCTATCTCACTAATGTTGCATAGTTTCTGTTCACCCTGGGACAATATGTAACTTGTGACTTTAATTGGTACTAGCATGGCTAATATAAAGAAGCGCAGTCAGAGGGTTAACATATGCATTTGAGAGTTCCACAGGGACATATGTTATATATTCCCATATGCAGAGCCTATTGAAGGTGTCATTTGGTGTGATTAGAAGAGGAAAAGGACATTCAAAATATTTTTGTGATCTCTGTCTTATTGTATTTGTATAGTGCAGGTAGATTAAAAAAATAAAAAAAATCTTTGGCAACAAAATTATTTCATGCATGTGATGTGAACACAGAGGTTTTCAGACCCATAGAGGATTCAGTCCATCTCATTAGAGTCATAAAGACTTTGCTGCAATAGGCTCTATGTAAAGCTTTCTCCTGTTAAAGAAGAATCTCCTGTATGTAAAAGCAATAGACACATAATTTTGTCAAATGTCAGAATGGCAGCATCCATTGCAACATGTTCCATGATAAACTTTTCCATGGAGAAGAATGACATTGCTTAATCTTATTTTGCAGTGGTAGGTAAATTCCATGTGTAATTAGATTACTATTTCTTTGGCTACCTTTCTCCCATCCAACGTCTTCACTGTGATGGCAGTTTGTGGCTAAGCCTGTCTAACCACAGCCAGCTGCAGATTTGAAACTAGACAGCCTTGCTAGAGTGGTGCTGTGCCTAAGATAATATGCCATGCTGAGGACATATTCAGTGAGGCAGGGAAGATCCTCAGGTCCAAAACTTAAAAGGAATTAAAATAACCATGGCTAGATACCATGGGGTAAAATGGTCACTTGTCTGTCTGTGAACAAGGTCATTTTTACTTATTTAGGGTCTATGTCAGAGATACAGCTGCAATCTGAAAGACCAGGTTTGGAAGGACTGGGAAAGGCTATTCCTTGTCACTGCAGACACACCCAGAAGAGATATGCTTGCTAATACAAACTCCTCCCCAAAACAGAGTTCTTCAGAGAAAAGGGAAAATTTAAAGAATCTGCAAGGTCTTTGGTCTTTCAAATTGTCTTGTTTAAAGACCATGTAATTTTAGTAAACCAATCTGTGCTTTGCTTTGAAGACTGTAAGAGTTTACATAATGGGAGCAGCAAGCTACAACAGACTTCCAGGGAAAAACTTATTCCAGGTCTGGTCTGAGCTGGTTGTGTTGAATGTCCTAAGTATCTCAGAAGGTTCTAAGTGAGCTACGAGTGGATAACCTGCAGATGTGCTTTCCTAGAGAATTCCAAAGAACTGTACTCAGTGACTTGGCAGCATTGAGCATGCATGGCTAATGGCAGGAATTTGGATAGGTACAAGTATTCATTTCAGTGCAAACCATTCAGAAGAGAATCAGATCAATATTGTAACTCATATGTCTATATTAACAACAGTGTCCTCATTTTATCTGCTGAAGGTGGTTTCTTGTTTGGAGTAGAGCTTTAACTCATAGAATATGCATCATCTCTCTTTTACCATGGGAAATATATGATTCTATCTTATACCATTGCTTTTTATGACTTAAGAAATTGGAAAGCAACTTGCAAATATAGCTTATAGCTAGGAGGTTAAAAGACAAATCATAGATTTCCTTAGGTGCAATTTAAAGAATCATCTAGATATTATGTGTCCTGCCTCAGCATCACAGTACTTCAGCACATCCCCCTGTTGAAACTTCTCAACTGTTGAATTGCCAGAACTCTCTATTCTAGATCCTAGATCATGGCCTGAAGAGGGAGATGACCAAAAAGAGCTAGCTGAAATCCTAGGCAGGAGAGTAAAAGGAAGGTGCTCCTACATCATCTAAACATTTTAGAACCTTTTTCATCCAGAAGCTGGAAACCTTCTAGTGTTCTGAGTGGGAAAAATAATGAACGGTTCTCCACAGTGTTTTTTTATTTGTGAGGCAGGTCCAGTTTTGATGACACCCTGATTGAATCTGTTTCCAGTTTAATTTCCTTTCCATGTGATCCAATAATCCTGGTGGCCTACTTGGGAATCAAAAACCTATTTATTCCTGGACATAGCTGTGAGGGCTATGACCAGAATTTCAAGGGTTCAGAGTGCTGGATTAGCCTTCCAGGGTGACTCATGGAGATGACTTTCCCTCACTTCCACAACAAGGTTTGGAAGTTTGGGGCAGATTTTTTCAAGTACCTAATATTGAAATATCAAAATCTTATACTTTCTGCTCTCAATCTTTAGTCCCATTTAGAAGTTCAAATCAGTTTATGGCACTGGATGCCCAGTTTCTGATAGTGCCCATTACCAGGTGCTGAGAAAGATGCTGCAATGTATCTTAAATTGGCAATTGTTGAAACTTTCTGCTCACACGTTTCCTGCTGCCGTTGACCAGGGACATGGAGGGTCTGTGTTTTCTGAAAAATGTAGAAAGTTACATTTTGTCTGTAAGTTACAGTAAAAAAAAAATAAAGTCTTGTGTCGTGGTTTAACCCCAGGCAGCAGCCAAGAACCACACAGCCTCTCACTCACTCCCCCACCAACGGGATGGGGGAGGGAATTAGAAGGGTAAAAGCTACAAAAACTCATGGGTTGAGATAAAGACAGTTTAATAGAGAAAGCAAAAGCTGCACACACAAGCAAAGCAAAACAAGGAATTAATTCACTGCTTCCCACAGACAGGAGGTGTTTAGCCAGCTCCAGGAGAGCAGGGTCCATTACGTGTAACGGTTCCTTGGGAAGACAAACACATCACTCCAGATGTTCCCCCTTCCTCCTTCTTCCTCCCACCTTATATACTGAGCATGATGTCACATGGTATGCAATATCCCTTTGGTCAGTTTGGGTTACCTGTCCCAGCTGTGTCTCCTCCCAATCTCCCATGCATCCCCAACTTCCTTGCCAGCGTGGCAGTACGGAAAGCAGCAAAGGCCTTGACTCTGTGTAAGCTCTGCTCAGCAATAACAAAAACATCTCTGCATTATCAACCCTGTGTTCTGCTCAAAACCCAAACATAGCCTCATACTAGCCTCAATGAAGAAAGTTAACTCTACTCCAGCTCAAACCAGCACATCTTGAAACCTGAACAACATACAGTGATTTTAAAATACTCCCGAAATTGTTGACAACATTTCCTCCTCTAAAGGGGCACGGTGTATACAGTTATTTTTATCTTTACTGTGCAGCATTTCTGCTTTCAAAGAAAACTCTCTGAAGTTTCCAGGTGTACGAAACACACTATTTGGGTAGTGCTGTTATGGTAGTGCCTAAGCAGCTTCTGCATTTTGCTGCTTTCAGTGGTGGAACTAAAGCTAATGCAGTATGAGTATTTTTTCTGAATACTTGAAATGAACGAGTTAGGTCACTCTTTTACTCACTTTGTGTTTCATCTATAAAATTTTTAGAGATCTGAGTTTGCTGTACTTGTTTGAATCAACTTTCCAAGTAAACATTTGTAGAACAAAATTTATCACAGTGGATGAAGGTTGTGGGAGTGTGAAGGCTGTTTTTTTAATTCCCTTCTCATGATGTGAATTTTGCAAATAACAGTTACCGAGGGGTTTCTCTAACCACTTGCTGCTAATGAGCAGTGTTTCAGTGTCTGATGGAGCATTTTAGGCATACAGAGAATTGTTTAGGATCAATCCAGTAGGGAACATGGCTGGAATAAATTTAAATAGTGAACACGGTTCTCAAAACCATTATGCAAAAAGGGCTTCAGCAAAATCTAATTATTCAAAATTGTGGTTTCATAAAAACTGAAAATGTGTTTACGCAAAAGTAGCTTAAAAGTGATAAATCTCTATAATCAATTTGTAGTCTGGAATTATTTTTTTGCTCTAGGCAGTTTTACCTTTTGTGGTAGCTTCTGTAATTTTTTCCCCTGCAATGTAGCTCTCAGATAGCAGCCCCTTTTTATTTGTGAGAATGCTCTTTCCTTCATTCTCTTATTTCAAAACATAAGATGGAAATGTGCAAGTTATTTTGGTTTAATCAGGCAGATTTAGTGATTTCTTTTTGCTTATTTTATCTATAATATGTAATTTACTGTAATTGGTAACGTGGAAACTCAAGCTTTAACAACTCAGTTATGCTTCTTCAGCTGCTGCAATCTAGAATTCAGCATGCCTGATTGAGGATGGGATCAAAAAAGATAAGAGTCTCTACATATTGCCATGGAGAGTGACTGGTTCACAGTAGCATGTGGACATAGAGAACTACAGACCATTAGATAATCACGTGTTTTTTCATGTGTTATTAGAGGCAGCAGCTGAGCAAGTGTTGCTGTGCTGCTGGAGCTTGGGGTTTTGTGGTACAAGATACATGAGTGGACAGCAGAGACCATCCCTTTCACCCCCTTCTCTTTCTTTTATACACAGTATTTGTCCAATGGTAACTAAGTTGGGATGTTGTACGTTGATGTTTCACACAATTTTTGTCCTTCATTTTTCTGTTTGCCTACCATTAATTGGACTTTTTTTCTATTTATATGTTAAATTTTGATTTGATTTCAAGGAAATGCTACCAAATATGAAAAATTTTATCCACGTCAAGGTTATTTTCCATCCAGAATACCAAAGTCGTGTATACTTCCATAATTTGACTGAAAACATAGAGAAAGTAGTAATTTTCTTATCAATATGTGGCATATGCAGACGTTTGCTTGGTTGCAAAAAAGGGTCCTGAAGGTTTTAGGGTGCAAAACTTTAAGCAGCATCATTTACTTTTGGATTTTATATGTAAATAACTAATGAAACATTAATTGATGTACTACTCTGACCTTTTTATTTCCTCAGCCATCATGTATGTAATGGGAGCACTTGGTCCTGCAGCTGGATACTTGCTAGGAGGACTTCTTATTGGTTTCTATGTTGATCCTAGGACAACTGTTTATATTGACCAGAGTGATCCCCGATTCATTGGAAACTGGTAAGGACCAAGCATTTTTCAAAACTACTCTCTAAATTGCTGGTAGGGAATTTAAACAGGTTGGAAAATTATATCCCTTGAGAACTTGTTTAAGGTTGTAGAAGGAGGCTAAGGAAGAGGATGTTTCTGTCGATAACTACATGCTTGCCTCTGATGGAGACGAAAAGTTTGCCACAGAAGTGCACAGAGACATTGCATGGAAAACCCCCTACTTTTGACTGCTCCAGGACTGACAGTGCTTAGCACAGGGATGGCAGGGCAGGATCTTGGTTTTGCAGGAGGCGATTGAGGATCACTGCTATCCAGGACCACCCAAGAGGATGTTTCTGTCGATAACTACATGCTTGCCTCTGATGGAGACGAAAAGTTTGCCACAGAAGTGCACAGAGACATTGCATGGAAAACCCCCTACTTTTGACTGCTCCAGGACTGACAGTGCTTAGCACAGGGATGGCAGGGCAGGATCTTGGTTTTGCAGGAGGCGATTGAGGATCACTGCTATCCAGGACCACCCCACCCATTTGCTTTTCCAGAGGAGGCAGCATGGAACACAGCTCCAGCTGCCCAGATGAGAAAAAGTAGACTTCATTACCCTGGTCTAGGAGGAGATAGGATGGGGTCAGAACATGCCCTTTTCAGTCTGTTTCTCAGGGTGATGGCTTGTGTTTAGGCAGCAGATAATGTAACCCATCACATTATTCTCTAGTAAAGAACAGACTTCAGCAGCACTGAGATGTAGCAGTTGTAATTGTTAGCTGATGTCTTGAGGCAACCTTTGAGATGTGGCGTCCTTGGAAATGTCTCTTTGAGGAGCAGGTCTTGAGGATGTTTTAGCTGCTTTTCTCAGATAATTCATAAATCTGCCTTGAAGTTTTCATACAAGCCCAGAAAAGACTGGAGTTCATTATCCCATGAAGAGACCTCTCCTTTGTAAGTGTAAGGCAGTGTCAGTTCTCATGCCTTGGGTTAGTGTTTGTCACTGCACCATTGCAGTCTGTCTCTATCTGTTTCTATTTATTCTGCAATGATGTTTCCTGACAGTTTGATGTGAAAAATTCTCTCTTTGGAGTCTTCCTAAACCTCTGGAGATTTAGTCCTGCTTTATTTGTTTTACATAGTCCAAGAGCATTGCTGCACAGGACTGTCTAGCTGGATGCACAGGACTGTCTTGTCGAATTTTCAGCAAGACAAAGGCAAAGCTGAATGTGGCCTTGGGGTTAATGACTCTCTGCTCTCATGTATCTACTGACTTATCTCACTGAAAAGATTTGTCCTGTGAATGTGCTGCAGTGTCAAAAACTTGCTTTGACTATTCTAAAATAAAAGATTTGAAATCAAAGCATTCTTTGTACATTCTTTGTAAAACTCTTACGTTTCATGTATTTTTGAAGACATGTCAGAACTTGTAATCAGCATCTGATCAGTATATTTTGACAAAAGTTATGAACAGGCCCATAAATATATTTGTTAATTGAAATCAGTAAGGCTACATGAATCTGGGGGAAACTTTGGACTTTATTTGTAATGCAACCACTGGTATAACTGCCTTATCATGTGGGCATGCATGTGTGAGTTTTAACTCAAACAGCTCCAGCAAAAGGGAAATAGCCAAAGCAGCATGGGTGCATCAGTTTGCCGCTTCTCAGGCCATTTGCATCAGGCTCTGTGCCACAGCAGATGTATGGCCGCTGCTGGTTTAAAGCTAGCTTGGATATATGTGCAATATTGGTGTAACCACATGTATGAGAGAGATCAGGAGAAAAAAAAAGCCTGTTCTTGCTCATGAATTACAACTTTAACCATCCTTCCTCAAAAGAGTGTCAGGGATGGATGCCCCGTGCCAGGGATGGATGGATCCCTAGCACCCTGTGGGAATGCTATAACCACCACGTTCTATGTCAGAAGTGATGATAAGTCACCTATTACAACCATTTCTGTGGTCAGGCTTTGAGAACATCTACTATACCAGGCCTTGCAAACAAGATAGGAAAAAAAGTCTAGTTTGTGTGTTCAGAAGATTTCATGTCAAATCACTGAACAGACTTTATGTATCTCCAAGGTTTAACATCACCTGAATGAGTATCTTAGTGATTTCACCTTTGCACAGGGGTGCCAGCAGAAGTGATGCAGATGTGACTGAAGTAAGGGCAGGAAGTCAGCTGTCATAGGATCTCAGCAGGCAAGTCATATTCTAGGCAGCATAGCAAAGTAAAAGTTATTCAGATTTTCCTTTTTCCATCATGTTGATTAAATCTGTAGAGCCTACCTTTCCCTGAAGGGTGTTTCAAGTAATTTTATTATTCTTTCATGTTTGGCTATCTCAGTTTTTTCTCTCTTAAATTTCTAAGGAGTGTCCCCTGCTATCAGATCTCTGGTAATTTGTGGCATTCATAGCATCTGGGCCTCATTCTCCTTTCTCTTTCGGAAGCTGTGCTTACCCATTAAAATGAACACTCCCATGGTGTGAGGGTTAAACCTTTGTCCCTTGCTGCTCACTGACTGCATGGTTGCAGAGAATTCTGGAAGTATAGACTTTCATTTCACTGAAATCTATTTACTGGGACTGTGACATTTTCTCCTTGCAGGGAAGTGCTGCGTAGTCAAGTTTATTTTTATTTATGCAATCTAACAGTTTGAAATGGAAGAGTAGTCTAGCACTTACTTCAGCTGACATGCTTTTTAAAAGTAGGGTGCAGTTGAGATAATTTAATGGGCAGTCATAGATGTGATTTCTGAGGCTTGTCTCCTTTGAAGTGAATTAGTGACTTTGATTCCTATCTTTTCTTTAGTATAGCTGTAAGGTTTCTAATGTAACTTATCATGGGACGCTGTGAAAAAATTTCCATTGTTAAAGGAGGTAATGATTACAGACAAAATAGTGAGTATGACAACTATGATATGTGGCCAAAATAAAAGCATTATAGTCTATTTTTTACTTATGCTGTTCCTTTCTAGGACGTATGTTGTAGGACTGGTAATTTGGTTTATCTCTTGTGAAACCTGATACAGTAAGTGGTTATTTTTCAGGATTAATTCTGATCTGATTCTTCCTTGAGTTTCACAGGAGATGAGTTTCCTTTCATGGGTTTTGCACACCTGGGCTTTCTGTAGGTGCTCTGGGCTAAATTACAGTCCAGCTGTCTATGCCAGCCCATCAAATGTTTAATAAAACTGCTTTTTTTTTCAACTGTGGTAACTGTAAGGATATCTGTCGGAAATCATCATGTTATTGTCTTTGAGAACTGTTAATGGTGCTATATAGGGACCTCATTAGCTGTGGAGTAGCCCTTGGTTGTCTATCAGGTGCTTTGAATCAAATTTTCATTTGTTGATGCTTTTCTGAGCCTATTTAATACTTCCACACGAGGAGTTTAAAGGGATTTCTCCAGCACTGTATGGCCCTTCCTTGGTTTTAATTGCTTTTATTTGAGGTCCTAGAACTTGTTCATATGTCTTTGAGGTATTCTTCTGCATATTTTGTTTGACTTTAGGAGACAGAAAATCAAGGGCTTTTTAATTAATGTTCTGACCTGTCAATTTTCCATTGTAGGTGCCATTTTTGATACTGTCTTTTGTCATTTTTCCAATTCTTTGATATTTCTTCAGGAAGTTGTGAAATGTAGATGGTGCAAATAATTGCATCCAGTGCTGCATTTGTGACATCTCCAGCATTTGTTATGCTATCATAGTGGTCCCTTTGGATTTGTATTTCATCTTCTGTTACATTGCAAGCCCTGTGTCCTCTGCTGTTTCCTCCTGAGTGGGTGGTTGCAGATTTCTGCATATTATTGCCACAGATTGTTTCTTTGATCAGTGCCTTTGCAGCTTTTGCCTTTGAGATCCCAAAAGGGATGTTACTACATTTTTATATAGTCTACAGATTTATTCCGTCTGACAGTGCTGACTAATCCTCCTAAAAGTCTGCTTTCTAATCCATGTATGTTATCAGCTAAAATGAATGAATAGAGGATTTTCTGTTTACATAATATCAAAATTAGTCTAAACTTTCAGTCACTTATATTTGCCTTGCAAGAGCTTCCCTTACAATCCTTCTAACAGAAATGGTATTGCACATGGCTGTTTGTTTGTTGTTTGCCTGTGTGTAACCATTTACCATACAAACCATTACCATGCATATGAATTTGCCTTCACTGAAAAATATACTTTGGAATAAATATCCTTTGCATTACAGATACGAGGCCAAATGTTTTTTGTTTCTTGTGCAAGTAATCCTGTCTACTCAGAACTTTTAAATGTTGAAAACATGAACAATATATAATTAGTAGTGTAAAGGTTGTACAAAAATATGTAAAAATTGTTCTTGTACTGGGTTTGCATGGCAAGGTTTTGGTAGTGGTGGGGCTACAGGGGTGGCTTCTGTGAGAAGCTGCTAGAAGGTTGTGCTGTATCCAATGGAGCCAATGCCAGCTGGTTGCAAGAAGCGGCTGGCCAAGGTAGAGACCATCAGTGATGGTGGTAGGACCTTTGGGTGAGAGGTAGGCACTGGAATGCAGAACAGATTTAGCCCTGATGTATCTGTCTGGACATTTTATCTTCTTATGACGTGGATAATATTTTTAGAGTTCTCTAGAGGAATACTGTATTGGTTTACCGATAATTATCCAAGAAAGGCAGAGTAAAAATGATTTTCTACTTCTCAGTACTTGGTACTAGCTAATTACCAAATCCAAAAATTTATGCAGACTCAAAGCTGACACTATTTCATAATATTTTGTGGGTTCTGGATAAATACCTTTCTCTGTAGACAAGCTAACAGAAACATCTTCTAATTAAGGAGTTTTGTGCAGTGGAGGCTTTTCCTCACTCCAGTCCCTTACTGTTAGTGTCAGTGTTCCATATATTGCAAATATGTCTTTCCAGCCAGTGCAGTCTCTAATAATCACCTTGAATTTTTTATTTCATGTAATGCATTGGCTTTTATTTCTGTTCCTGTCTCCTGTCATTAGGTGGAGTGGGTTTCTCCTTTGTGCCATTGCAATGCTCCTTGTGATATTTCCCATGTTTACCTTTCCGAAAAAGCTCCCTCCTCGACATAAAAAAAAGAAAAAGAAAAAGAAGATGAACTCTGATGATGTTTCAAGTGATGATGATGTGATGAAAGAGAAAACAAATAGCAAAATACAAGCAGACAGTGCAGTTCCTGCCTCTATGGGATTTGGAAAGAATGTTAAAGGTGAAGTTTGTTTTAAATTTTTAAATGCTTTGAATTTTTTATGCAGAGCCATCTAGGATTGTATCAGTGAAATTGAAGGCAGAGTTCTGACATCCCATATTTAATACTATGTTCAACTATTGAGATTTTCATAGATGGTCATCCTCTAAAATGACAAAATGCAGCAATGAGTATAGAACATCCGTTTTCTTAAATTGTTGATGTGTTTGTGTACCTGTAACAAACAGGTAGGCTATTTTCTGTATTAATAGAACCCCTATTACCAGACATAATTGTGCACCTTACAATTTGTAACTATCATACTTGCTTTATAAGCTGTCCTTCGTAGATTTAAGTGCTCTTCTAAAATATAAGTGAAACAAGTAAAAAACATTCTGGTATGCGAGTTCAATTACATTCATGCATTTGGGTATGTTAATTGAGAAAGATTGTTTGTTTCATGTGCTTTTCCTGTCTGTTTCCTACTGCAAGGCATTTATTTTTAGAAGTCTAGAACAGAAAAAACCTGTGCTAATTTTGAAACAAGAAGAGGTCAAAAGATTGACAAATAATGGAGATTTTAATTTTATTCAAGAAGTAAACCATTAATGTAAAATCTAACAGTAAGTAGTGATTATTGACAGATTGCCAGGGGAAGAAGGGCAGTGTTCTTAAAAATAATTAGTGTGAAGTATATACATTTAAAGCTGACAATATAGAATTAACAGTATCATAATACTGAATAGTGTAGGAGAAGAATGAATGTGCCTTAATGCCATTGCATTGTCAGTGCTGTGTCTTCCTTGGATTCTGTGATGCCAATGCTGGTTGTGTCATTTAGTGGTAGCCTGGTGTATGCAGTGGGACTGGATGAAACCATGAAATGTCTGTTTGTACCGTTAGATGTAATTTGAACTCAAACCTTTTGTTTGTTGGTTGACATGGCCATTGTTGTTACTTTTTCATTGGCTATCAGTCCAGGATAGAATGATTGGCAGACTTTTTAATGACACATTTATGATCACTCTATGCTGAGTGGACAAGGCTTAGAAAACCAGCTGGGTTTGGACTAAAACCAGTGTAGTTCTAAGTAATGTTTGCCTACATACGTATTGATTTGCTCCACTTTGCATTTACATCTGTACTCTCAAGGTATCTAAAGTTACTGTTAGTTTATATGGGCATAAAGAAAAAAGAGGAGACCAGAATTTCCTTGGGCTAATTTTGTTAGCCTGCAGACCTGCATCCTGAGGCACAGAGAAGGAAGGTAAACTTCAAATATCAGATCTTTTAGAACCATGTTCTCCCTTTGTTGGCGAAGTAGTTGAAAAAGTGGTGAAGAAGCAAAAAAAAAAGCATGTTGTCTACTTTCTTTTTTGGAGACTCTTTGTTCTCCATTTTTTTGAGTCCCCATATATAATATTTTCTCCTCAATCCAAAAAACTAGTTGTGGGTTTTATTGCCTTCAAACCTATAGGCCTCTGATCAGCAGAAGTAGTTCAGGGTTACTCCTGTCAAGATTTTTTCATTAACTTAGGAAATTGGGAAATGGACAGTCCAGTCTTTGCTGGACTCCTTCCTAATTGTTACAGGTGATGTCACAGCAGAGGGACTGTTTCACCATATAGATGTGCCTGGTAAAGTTATTGGTATACAGACAAACTCTGCATCTGGATGAGTTTTCTCATGCTGGTTCTGTTGTGGTACATAATTTCACCTTCCAGGTCATGTTGTCCCTACAGGCATGGCAGATACAGACAAAACAAGTATTCACTTCGGAGAGTGTTTCCTAGTACTTCTTTTATAGGAACAAAAACTTTTGTATGTCTCATTTTAGCATGTGTTTCTTTGATATGTGTCTGCCTAAATGTGTACCATGCCTTCTATAAAATCCTATATTAATATATTAATGGAGCTACCAAATTAGAGCTTTTACTGTACCAAACTTTTCATTTTCTCTAGAGGAGAAACTTCACTACGTGGAACAGTGAAAAGAAACATGTTAGAAAGATACCAAGCGAATTGAGATAATGCAGCGAAAAGTATTTTGCTATAAGCTGATAATAGCTTTCCCATTCGGTGTCATTTACCCTAGCAAAGAAGGCCTGCAGCA